GTGGAACCTGACACTGCCCAGTGATCATGTTGCCCATGAGTAGAGGCTGGGCCCAGGGAGAGAGCACCCCCTGCCCCTGTGTGGGTGTTACCTGGGCCCTGGGCAGGGCAGAGGGTCAGCCCTGCCCTGTTAACATTTTGCCAGTGGGTAGAGGCTGGACCCAGGGAGGGAACACCACCCGTCCCTGTGCAGGTGTTCCCCGGGCCCCGGGCAGGGCAGGAGGGTCAGCCCTAACTAGTGATCACGTGGCCAGTGAGTGGAGGGTGGGCCCAGGGATTTAATGGCACCTGCCCCTGTGTGGGTGTTCCCCAGGATGGGCAGGAGGATTTGCTCTGGTCGGTAATCACTTTACTGTTTCAGGGTGGAGGGTGGGCATGGGGTGGGAGCATCACCTGCCCCCTGTGGGTATTCCCATGGCCCTGGGCAAGGTGGGATGGTCAGCTGTGCCCAGTTTTCACCTTGCCAGAGTGTGAGCCCAGGGAGAGAGTGCTACCCATGCGGGTGGTCCCTGGGCCCCAGGCAGGTCAGGGGGTCGGCCATGCCCAGTAACAATGTTGCCCACGGGTGGAGGGTGGGCCTGGGGAGAGAGCACCACCCACTCCTATGTGGGTTTTCCCCAGGCCTTGGGCTGGGCAGGAGGTTGTGACCTGGTTGGTAATCACTTTACCATTTCAGGGTGGAGGGTGGGCCCGGGGCAGGAGCATCACCAGCCCCCCTGAGGGTGTTCCCAGGGCACCAGGCATGATGGGAGGGTTGGCCATGCCTGGTTATCACCCTGCCGGAGGGTGGGCCCGAGGACAGAGTGCTACCTGAGTGGGTGTTCCCCGGGCACCGGACAGGGCAGAGGGGGTCGGCCCTGCCCAGTACTCACTTTGCCTGTGGGTGGAGGGTTGGCCCGGTGAGAGAGTACCACCTGGTTGGCCCGGTGAGAGAGCACCAGGCAAACTAGGAAGAGATATCTGTCAGAAGTGACCCTTGTCTTCCAAGTCTCTTTGCATTCTCCACCCCAAGGAACCCCCCCAACATAAAAATAAACATGGATGGATGTGAGTGATGCCCTCCCCCTCTTAGGACATTCCCTGCGCCAGGCAACCGAGGAAGAGATATCTGTCAGACGTGACCCCTATCTTCAGCTTCTCTGGGCACCCCTTCCACTCCAGGAACCCCCCAAAAATGTAAAAGTAAACATGGACGGACGTGAGTGATGCCCTCCCCCTCTTGGGACATTCCCTGTGCCAGGCAACCTAGGAGGAGATAACTGTCAGGAGCAACCCATGTTCTCCAAGTCTCTGCATTCTCCACCCCAAGCAACCCCCCCAAAAAACTTTAAAATAAACATTAATGGATGTGAGCGACGCCCTCCCCCTCCTGGGATGTTCCCTGTGCTGGTTTCCCTGGTCGGTGATCACATTGCCATATCAGGGTGGAGGGTGGGGCCCAGGACAGAAGCACCACCCATTCCTGTGTGGGTGTTCCCCAGGCCCTGGGCAGGGTGGGAGGGTCAGCCCTGCCAGGTAACCACATCGCCAGTGGGTGGAGGGTGGGCCCGGGGAGTGAATGCCACCCACCCCCATGCAAGCGATGCCTTTGCCCTCTTGGGGACATTCCTCATGCCAGGCAACCTAGGAAGAGACATCTGTTGGAAGCAAGCCATCTCCTCAAAGTCTCTTTGCATTCTCTGCCCCTCGGAATCCCCCCAAAAACCTAAAAATAAACATTAATGGACATAAGTGATGCTCCCCTCCTCTTGGGACATTTCCCACACCAGGCAACCTAGGAAGAGATATCTGTTGGAAGCAACCCATGTCCTCTAAGTCTCCCTGCACTCTCCACCCCCAGGATCCCACCCCAAAAACTTAAAATAAACATGGATGGACGTGAGCGATGCCCTCCCTCTCTTGGGATGTTCCCTCCACTGGTCACCCTGGTTGGTGATCATTTTACCGTTTAAGGGTGGATGGGCCCTGGGAGAGAGCTCCACCCACCTCTGTGGTTGGCCCCAGGAAGACAGAGGCACCTGCAACCGTGCGGTGGTCTCTGGGGAGGTCCTCTGGGAGTTGGAGGCCTGTAGCTGAACCAGTTCTACCAGTTGGATGCCTGTAGCTGAACCAGTTCTACCATGTACTGTCTGAAACCGGCACTGGACAGCTCTTCCAGAAGCAGTTTCTGGGTGCGGCATCTGGCTTGGGGGTCCGCTACATGGACCTCCTACACCCAACAGAGATGTGACTTGTGACTGTGTGAGTTGGAGGCCTCTAGCTCACCCAGGTCAGTTTCGGTAACTCCCGAAACAGTGGGGGTGATGTCTCATTGAAAAGCATTGTCTCTTTGAGGGTCTGTAGTTCCCCCCCCACCCCGAAGTCCAATGGGGACCAAACTTGGTGGGTATGTCAAGGAGAGTGTTAGTGCAGACGGGATCCTCTGCCCATCAACTGTTAACATAGCACCACAACCCCATATCCAACAGATCTACAGTTCTCACCTCCCAATAGACATCATCATCAAAGCAATTTTCATCTGTGGGATCACCAAAGAACGGCAATTTCAAAATGCCACCTGAAGGAAAGGACAATCAAAGTAACAAGACTATTCAGTTATACATTCTCTAGGGTGAACGAATGCAGGCAGACTTCCCTTCCTATATAAGATCTGAGCCAGAAAAGATCATATGTAAGCAAGGGCCCATTCGATATCCTGACTTCCTTTTCTATGTTAAGTGAGTTTCACACAAGGGAAAAAAGAAATTTTGTATTCTCCTTGCCATAGCAATGCATTTTAAAAATCACTTTGACATTTGAAGTATCATGTAAAGGATTCTAAATAATCAGGGTTCTGGGTATATTGTATGGCTGCACTACATAGACACAAAAATTACTCCTTCCAGCACACAATCCCTCATCTTCAGAATGTACCCTTTCAATAGCTTTGTTTATTTTTCTCTTTTGCAACATCCAAAAGCAATTTCTTGGTTTATTTGAAAACTAAGGGCTGAAAGGCTCAAAAATGTGTGAGGAGTAGTAGCAACTCTAGGGGAAATGGCTGGGGAGGAAAGTTTCATATCTATCCTTGACCTTGATAGGATTCACAAGAGATCAGGAGAGGAGAAGCTCATTTCCAAATGCCACACTAAATGGAACACTGGAGTTTTGTAGCTGGAATCCAGGCAGGTCTTTTGGCCCTAAAAAGTAGCTTGGCGGGAGTTATATAGATCAGATCTTTTGGCCAAGCCTGACTCACCCAGAATAACCCACTGTTGAACACTCTACTCTGCCTACTGTGTTTGTGTTCTTTCACTGACTTAAAAGCCAGAAGGGTGTAATATCTTCTTATATTAAAGAAACACTCAGAAACCACAACCTAACTAAACTAGGCTATCAAAAACAAAAGGGAAATACACAATAAGAAGCTGTCAATACAAAACTAACTGTATAATAGAATAGCAGACACACCTTATATGATTATATAAATACCTATCCTACTGAAAACATCTCCAACAGAATGTATTCAACTTCCAAAGGAGCACCGCTTCAATCACTATATAACCCTTTGTCCTGAGGGTGAGCCCCCGCAGGGATGGCTGCCGCCGCTCGGGACTCTGATCTAGCCAACCCCCCCAGCCACGACCCTGTCGGCACCTACTGGGATCCGCAGCCCACCGACCATGTTGGGAACAGATGGGACGCCCCCGAAGCAGCCGGCCGCCACCGCCCCTGGACAGCAAGCAGCAGGGGATAATCCCCTGGGAGGGGGGAAGGAGACCACACCGGGCAAATGGCCCAGCGTGAGGGTCCACCTACGGCCCTGCACAGCACAAGGAAGGGGAGAAGCAGAGCTGATGCAGCCGTTGGGTCCAGAGGGGGAGAGCTGGAAGGCTGCCACGCCCCAGACTCAGCATCTGGGAATAAAAGGAGGGGGCGGGGCTACGATAGGGGGTGGAGGGCAGAACGTAGGGGAGAGTAGGTGGCATGGGACGGGAATAAAAGGGAGAATGCAGACAGAAGCCAGGGAGGATGCAAAAGGCCCAGGAGGAGTTACGGACAGGAGAGAGAGAGAGAGCTGTCTGAACGTGCCAAGGGAGAGCAGAGGGTGGTGACATAACCTCCTCTCCTCCCACTTGTCTGAGGCTTCTGGAGTTCCCCCCCTTCTCCCCTGGTGGCAGGGTGCGGTGGGGGACAGCACATGGCGGCAGGCGACCAACGACACCGACAAGGGGTCATCTGGCTCATGTGACACCCTTAATTCCAAGTGAATCATAAATCAAAATAAAGTCCAAAATTAATATCCAAAAACTCAGTCAATGCTGAAATGAAGAACGTGAAAAAACCAAGATGGGATCACAGGTATAGGAAATGCAACAAACAAACAAACACTGTGATATAGATGACAACACAGGTTAAGTAAGAATCAGATTATATTGTAAAACTTGGCAATATTACAGGTCCATCATTCTCAATGAGCATCTGGATATAAACTCATTTCGTCACACTCTTACTCAGGAGTAATCCCATAGTAATGAAGGTGTCAGCCTCTTGCTACAGAGCAACCCAATGTTTCATTTCTTCTTTATATTTTTCAAATAATCCTGAAAAATAACCCATGGTACTTTAAATAAATAAGCAACATGAAGCTGAATGGAATATTATACAAACTTTTCATATTAATTTGTAATTTGAATTATTTAGCTTTTAATTTTTTTTTTTATTTACTTTTGGTTCCATGTTCAAGTGTTTATAAAGGAGCAAGCCAGTCTTGTAGTCTTCTTTTATATAGGTGCAAAAGCCTCCTGTATTATGCTGGTTTAAGAGCTCTCCATGAACACCGTGTATATTTAGTTGATATGGGAGATGCAGTTCCCTGTTAGACTTTTATTGTTCTACATAAAATTAAGAGACTTCTGTTCTAGACTTGCTTTTGATAAAGCTTTAAGCGATACGCAGTGATCCAAGCCGGCAAACACGTGAAGCATGACAGCATGGAAACAAAACACAGCATAGTGGCCAGGCAAGCAGCTTGGCAACCGGCCCTAAGCAGCTGGGACAACAGCAAAGCAGCCTGGAAAGTGGCCAATGAAGACATCATTTTGTGCTACGTTGGACATTAATTTTGGACTTTATTTTGATTTATGATCCACTTGGGTTATATAGTGATTGAAGCGGTGCTTCTTTGGAGGTTGAATACATTCTGTTGGAGATGTTTTCGGTATGATATGATATTTATATAAATTTATTTGTTTAAGGTGTGTCTGCTATTCTATTACACAGTTAGTTTTGTGTTGCACAGTGTAAACAGGCAGATGGTGCATAGGATATGATTACATTGACAGAAATTATGATGCATCCACTCCCCGTGCTGAGATTCAATTTCTAGGGAGCAGAACATCATTAGCAACTCACCCAACAAAACTCAGGATGGTGATTCATCAGGGATCATGATCAGGGAACAGTGACTCCCCCTGGTAGGTTACAGTTAGGGGGTGGTCACACGGTCATTTTGATCGGGTTTCATTACTGTTCCCTATAGCATTTAAAAGGGCTGATCAGACAGCCGCATCTGTCTCTCGTATTGAAGCGGGCTCACCCCCGCAATCCTCCCAGTTTTCTAGCACATTTTCTGACCCTAGGAGAGCGTATCTACTCACCTACAATGGCCCCTCCAACCAAGGCCATGCCCAAGGACACAGCAATGCCAGCTGCCTGGAACCCCCCTTGGACCCTGGGTGTCCTGTTCGCGTAGGGACCAATGAAGTCAAAAGCATGGATGAGCCTACAAGGAAGGAAAGACAGGGGAAAAGCAACAGTGAGACTTGCTTCCAAGTTAAGAGACACTCTTTACTACCGAGCCCCATGAGGGGCCCTGCGGTGGACCTGCAAGGCCAGCAGGAGTGCAAGGAAGCCCGGTCAAGGCCCTCCCTGGCCCCAGGCAGGCAGGGGTGGGGAGAGGCGGGGAGGAAGCAACTTACCCTCCTTCTTCTCCTGCCTCCTCCTGGCTGAATGAGGGCCGGAAGTGGGGCGGCCGGAAGCAGGGGGCGGGGCTTCGTCATGTGCCCCGCCCCCTGCACCTCACCCGCGTTCCCCCCCGAAATGACCTCTGTGGCTAGGACTTGGGGGACCTGGTTTGAAATCCCCACTCAGTTGATGGAAGCTTGCTGGGGACCTTGGGCCAGTTACTCTCTCCCAGCCTAACCTGCCTCACAGGGTTGTTGTGAGACTAAAATGGGGAGGGGGAAGCCATGAATGTCTCCTTGAGCTCCTCGAAGTAAAGGTGGGATTATGGTTAGATAGAATCATCACCTATTCTCCAGGCCTCTGGGCCTTTCCCAAAAGGTGAGTTGGCATGCAATGCGACTCCTAAACGTATATGAAAATAAGAGTGCCTGGCAGCAAGGATGGGCTTCAAAAAATCTCAGGCCGCCACAAAATGAAAGGCAATTTAGTAATTAGGCTGTATGCAATTTTAGTTCAAGCAGTCTCTCCCTCTGTCTCCCCAAACCTTGTCCCAGTGGTGTAATCCAAACCACCGTACCCTTCAGTTCCATAGACTTCCTCTGTGGCAGCAGCGGCTGTGACAGCTCCCACGATGCCCCCAATTAGCCCTGGCATGGCATGTAGGTTGTGGATGCCACACGTGTCTTGGATATGTAGCTTGGACTCTAAGAAAGGCTGGCAGGAAGGAGGAATAAGACATAGTTGCTCAGCACTGGTCTTTTTCTGAAGCCATCCTCACCCACCTATCAGTCTTTAGGGACTGGTCCCTGCATGGATAAAAACATCTGCATGATGGAGTCAGCCACAGCTATGATTTAGGACTCCAGAAACTTGGGACTTACCGGGGGAAAAATGAGATTTTTTAAAAAACCTAATTTGTGGATTAAACTCCCACCCCAACATTAACTGTAATTAAAAAAAAAAAGTTCTGGCAACATATTGAATTACCAGAGCAACCCCAAAAGGCACCCTCCACTGCAGCAGTAGCCATCCCCACCAGAAGGATGAGGTGGAGGAGGGAGGGGGTAGGGCAAAGTAAGGGCAGAAATGTGATTTCCTTTCCCAACAAGCCCCCAAAAGGTCCTTCTCTTGTTCTAAACAATTAGATAAATGATGGACTATCAACATTTAGTAACAAAGACAGAAACATAATGTGGTGTCGTGGTTAGAAATTGTGACTGGGAAGACATGAGTTCCTCTGCACGTGGTAACCCTGCTGGGTGACCTTGGGCTAGTCACTCTCTCCGTCTAACCTAACTCACAAGGTGTTGTGAGGGTACAATGGGATGAGGGAGAACTATGTCCACTACCTTGAGCTCCTTGAAGGAAGGGCAGGATAAAGATGCGTCCACTTTAATGAACCTTACAGGCAGCATGCCCTTCAATATAAAGGGCTGGGACAGACAATAGGGGATGGATACCGTCTGCGCGATACACTTGGTGGGCTTTCCAGAGCATTGCTAGAAAACCGCTGTTTTCAAACACTGGATGCAGTCTTGCAAAGCTGACACACACAGCTTTTTAAAGACCATCTGCTCCAGGAAAATACTCGCCTTCTCCTGTACAGGCAATGTAGCTAAACTCAGAGATGCTCTTACTGTGACAAAGACAAAACCAACAGTAGACACGATGCCACTGATAAAACCAATGATGAGAGAACCATATGGGGGCAGCATCATCTCTGCAGCGGTCCCAATAGCCACACCACCCGCCAGGGTGGCATTCTGGATGTGGACCTGTGCAAAATAAATAAATAAATAAATAATGAAGAGCCGTTCAGTGCTCACCAAGGCCTTTGCAACAGTGGCACCAAAATTTTGCATCTCTCTCCTCAGAGAGGTCAGGCCAACTCTTCTGGAACTTGGCAATTGAAGACAAACCCTTTCCAGAAAGTATTAGGCTTATAATTTTCAGATGGAACTGCTCCTCAGATTTTGAGTATGCTGTGTTCACTTTGGACTTTTTATTGTTCCTGGTATCCATTTTTGTTATATTGTTTGGATTTATCATAGTCTTTCTTTATTTCCCAGTTTATTTTTTAACAAAAAAAGATCCCTCATCAGTATTAGCTACTCAGCCTGGCAGCAGCTCTCCAGACTCTCAGGCTAAGGTCTTTCACATCACCTACTAGTCCTTTATGCCGGAGATGCTGGGGATTGAACCCGGGACCCTCAGCATGCAAAGCAGATGCTCTAGCAGAGTCACAGCCCCTCCCAAATTAAACTTCTCTATACACCCAGCCAAAGAGGAACCATGCACCCTGTCTATGTAATCATTGCGCACCATACTAGCAGATGGCAATGTGAAGATCACAAATTTTTTTGCTCACCATATTTAGCCTGCCTTTCTTTTCCAGCACACTGGAGAAGGCCACAGTGGTGAGGACACAGGCTGCCAGAGAGCAGTAGGTATTGATGGCGGCTCGGTGCTGCGCATCCCCATGATTGGAGATGGCTGAATTGAAGCTGGGCCAATACATCCACAGGAACAGGGTGCCTAGAACAGGACACAAGGAACTCACACTGCATCTCATAATAACCATTCAGATGCCCTTCACAAAGGGGAGGGCAATATTGGAGATGGGACAAGCAATGGAAGAGATTGGAAAGTTTCAAGATAAAGTGAAGGGAGGGGAACAGGAAACAGATGGCCAACTGTGCAAAAAAAAAAAAAACCACCCCAAGCTACTGGCTTAGCTCTAAGTACTCTGTTTCTTTCAGTTTGGTGTAGTGGTTAAGAGCACAGGCTCTAATCTGGGAGAACCGGGTTTGATTCCCCACTCCTCCACATGCAGCTGCTAGTGTGACCTTGGGTCAGTCATAACTTCTTTCAGAGCTGTTCTCTCATGGGCAGGCTGCTGGTGTGACCTTGGGTCAGTCATAAGTTCTTTCAGAGCTGCTCTCTCATGGGCAATTCTCAAGAGGGCTCTTTTAGCCTCACCTACCTCACAGGGTATCTCTTGTGGGCAGGGGAAGGGAAAGGAGATTGTAAGCCACTCTGAGACTCCTTCGGGTAGTAAAGGGCGGGGTATAAATCCAATCTCCTCTTCTCTCATGATCATTCTCCCTATTTTCCTTTAGAGAGAGAGAGAGACTCAAATCTTTCATTTGGTTTAGATATTGCTTAGGTAAAATTTGAAGACATCTTGGTGGCCCGCTGTGTTCCCTCTAAGCTGAGTTAGTGTGAGTTAGCTCACAGTTTTTTCGCCTCCGGCTCACAGATTTTTGTCTCAGCTCAGGGAGGGTGGCTCCAGAGCAAACTGATTTATGCAGTAGCCAAATCGTTCACTCACAACTTTAAGGCCAGTAGCTCACAAAGCAGAATTTTTGCTCATAAGACTCCACAGCTTAGAGGGGACATTGTTGGTGGGAAACATGCTCTTTCCTCAAATTCTGATCATAAAGTCTAGGAACTTTTTTTTTTTTTAAGGAACTTTGGATGTCAAATTCTGGATGCCGTCCTATCACAACATGCTTCTGAACACACATCACATAAGCTGCTTTACACTGAGTCAGGCCATTGCTCTGTCAAGGAGCATATTCACCTATACTGACTGGCAGCAGCTCTTCAGGGTCTCAGCTGGTGATCTTTCACATCACCTCCCAGTGGAGCCTTTTTTAACTGGATTGTCAGGGATTGAACCTGGGACCTTCTGCAAGCAAAGCTGGTACTCTATCGCTGAGCCTGCACCCCACCCCTGGCGTTGAAGAATACAGTATAGCATGCTAAAAGTTCTCAAGAAGCACAGAGGCCTTTTGTTTCAAGCTGTCTCCTGGGCAAGGGAATGGGGTTCATTTCAAAAAGCTTAACAATGGAGAAAGGGGACAGGATAGCCTGAGCTCATCTTCATTGACCTTGGCCACCATAAAATCTGAAAGCACCTTTTGGGAACACCCCAGTCTGAAGACCAGCTCACCAATCATGGAGAAGAGGTCCGAGTGGTAGACAGAACCCTGCTTGTCTTTGGTCTGATCCAGGTTGGGTCGATACAAGATGGCAGTTACTGTTAGACCAAAGTAAGCCCCAAAAGTGTGGATGGTCATTGATCCACCAGCATCTTTTACCTGAGGTTTTGGAAAAGAAAAAGGTTCAGTCTGGAAAGCACTCTCTCCACACTGAGTGGAAGGTTTTTCGAGAGCCTCCTGAACACCAGCAATATTTCCTAACTGCAGCAAGAGGACATTTAAAACTCAAAACATGAAAGTTGTTGGCCACATGCAAAATTAAGAGTTACCTTGCCGGAAATGGTTCAAGGGCAGGAAAATGCAGGGGGGAAGCGTGGCTGTTTGCCCCGGTGCAAAATAACACGCGGTTGCGCGATCAGACATCCCCTCGAGGTCCCGTCGAGGTCCCATGGTTAGGGGGGAAGTGCCAATCACACAACGTGGCAAAGAAGTGGCACGGCGTGGCAAATGGGGCTGTGTTTTGGTTTTAAACTGAAGTGTGCGCATGCGCCGTTGGGTGCTTGTGCACATCCCATGGAGACTTGGAAAAAAAACTTTTTGCATGTTGTACCCCACCTCCACCCACGGACCCCCTGCCTGTTCCATGGCCTTTTCCTTGAGTCCCCGCGTCGTCGTCACGCCCCCCCTTGCCCCCGGCACTCGTGCCTTGCCCAGGAGGTGATGCCAGCGTTGCTCAGCCCAGGAAGGTGCCGGGGGCTGCCTGGTGCGAAGCTCTCTCTCCCCCTCGCCCACAACGACTCGTCTGCTCTTCTTTCCTATTCATTGCACTAGAAGAGAACGGCGCTGCTGGGAAGGGAACCCCGGGGTGGGGTGGGGGGGACACACCTTTTTGCGAGGGGACATGGGCAGGCGCCGGATGCCACCGGAAACGCGATCAGACGCCCGCCCTTGCCCCGCAGTTACCAGAAACTAGTACCTCAGAGGTACTAGTTTTTAACTGCGCATCTTCGGAGGGAAGCCTCGGGTTCGCCATAGGAGCTCTACGCTTCCCAGATGTGGCGCTGTGATCGCGCCCGGAAAATCTGCCTATCATCCATCTCAGTGGCGTGGCTACTGCTCCGTGTGACCGCAGCCAAGGCATTCTGTGACCCCAAGCAAAATACACCTGTCAGCTTCTCAGCCCACCACCACTGGTTTTGTTTGCACTAGGGGTGTGCAAAATATATCTTTTTTCCCAATTCAGGTCTATTGGACCAAAAAAATATTGGTATTTCCGAACATTCCTGAATACCAATATCAGTTTTGTATTGGGATTCAGGTAGATATTCAGGAAACCTGAATTTATTTGGCTTCATTATACCATAGGGTGTAATAGAGAAGGGATTTAAACTTTAAATGCTTGCTGAGTTCACTCACTGAGTCCTGCTGCCATGGCAGTGCAACTTGGTAACTCAGAAGGCATTAAAGACACCGCAGCTTTTATTTGGGTATAGCTGTTTTGGTAGCTGAATACAGATCTCTGATACCTGAAAAATACCAATAAGGTCTTTTATTTGGTTCAACCAAGTGCAGACCCCTAGTTTGCACCCAGGCCAGCAGAGGTGCAGGCCCAGGCATCCCGTGCTGTTGATGGCTGATAGTGATCTGAACTCCTGCAGTTCCTCCAGAGTTTGTTGCCTTATTTGGTTTCTTCAGTGGCTGAGCTTGAGAACTGGCCCCATGGCTTTTAAAATCAAACAAAAGGCTCACCTAATGCTACAGTTTGCTTCCCTGAAGGAACCAGCCAAAGATGATGGCTTGGTCCCCTATACCACTCAATGTGAGCTGCAACTTCCCTTGGTTGATCAACTGGTCTCTTCTGTACCCTTCCCAGTTCCAGAAAAGCCTTGCTGAGATGGTTTTTTTAGGAATGTGCACTTTGGAGCCATTTCTATTCTCAGTCCCTTTTCTAATTGTTCCAAAGATTGAAGGCTAGTGTGGTATAGTGGTTAGAGTGTCAGACTAAGACCTGGGATTACTGGGTTTGAACCCCCTGCTCTGCCATGGAAGCCCACTGAGTGACCTTGGGCCCAACAGAATCTCTTAGCCTAACCTACCTAAAGTGGAGGAGGGAGAACAATGTGAAAAATCACTTTGGATCCTCAATCAGGGAGAAAAGTGGGGTATAATTTTTTTAAGTTTGCTTTTTTCTTGCACTGCAATATACTGAATGCTTAATGGTACCTTATATTGGGGATCCATGACAGGCTCACCCAATGTATTTTTTAAAGCAACCATGGAGGGGGAGAACCACAAATTGAATCAGGGCCATGAGGCTGAACTTTCCCCATTGCCACCTGGGGAGGGGGGGGGGAGTAGGAATCCATCTGCAGTAGAGATGACCTTCTTTCAACCAGTTTGGTATCTGTTAACTGTCCTGAGTGTTTATTTATAAAAAAGAACCAGCAGAATATAAATATGAAGAAAGAAATCTACATGAAAGATGTAGAAAGGTTGAATTCCTGTTCTTTAGTACCTGGCCCTATTAATTTATTTCAGTACCGCTGAAGATTAAATGACAATGATTGTAGCCAAATAACAATGTTTTCTATGGCTTGCAAAACCAGGAAGAAGATACTGTCAAGCTGCAACCCCATCTGAGGGGCATTCCAGGAAAGAAAGAAGCAGAGTTAGTTTGCCATTACTTTCCTCTGCATTTCTTTCCTCTGCAAGTATTCTGTGGTGGTCTCTCATTCCACTACTGACCATGGCCTATTCAGGCTGCTTGCAAAACCAAGGAGGCTTCCAACTGAAGGCAAAAGCTGTCTTTATACCAACATATGTTCCTCAAGTCTATTTTAAGCTTGTCTTCCTGTTTCAGGCCTGAAGGGCAACCTGTTTGATACCCCTGTCTGACAATCTGAGGAGGTTTTTCTTCTTTCAGGTTTTACTGCCCAATCAAGTACACTCCTTGTGTGACCACATTCCACAAAACCAGGTTGGGATCCAGGCATTAGTGAGCCCTGGGCAAGAGACTCACATGGCAGACCCCATCCGCCTCCTGCCCCGCGCACAAGGGTAACAGCTAGCTCCTCAGGCCCCTAATGCAAGCAGCAGTTTCTCTTCCTTGCCGATGACAGTTCCCTCCCTCCCCCTTTGCTCTTCTTCTTTGGACCCAGTCCAACAGAGGTTAGGAGGTGAAAGAGTGGGAAGATCCTGCAGCAGAAATGTCATGTGGCCCACTCGCCCTTCTTGGGATCAATGTGATAGTGGCAACAGTTGCACAGATGAAGAAACCTGTTGCCACCATCCCTATCCCATGAGAAACACTGAGTGAGCAAATGCCAGAAATGCAAGATAACATACATTAATAAGGACTGCTACCAATCATCATTTGAAGGATGGGCAATAATTTTTAACAATAACAGATCAGAATGTCAGCAAGCTGCCATGGTGTTCTGTGTTGCTGGTACTTCTGTACAGTTGCTACCCCCCCCCCTTTGCCTGTGTGCTATTATTTTAATCTGCTGTAATGCCTAAGCCAAACAACTGGAGGACGTACTGGGGGAGTTCGCTTCATTGCCAGCTTGTTGCTTTTAGAGCCTGAGAACTGCACCTGTGTTATGTCTGGAGATAGCCTGGTTCTCAGGGAATGAGCGCGCAACCGTTTCCTTTCACCCGCCAGCGGGAAAGTGACCCATTGGTTCTGTATCTGTTTCAAATCCCTTTATTATGCTTGCCCTAACCGTTTGTAGTCAGTTCTAACAAAGAACGTGTTTGAGTGTCTTTCCAATGCTTTGAAATAAATTTTGCTTTTCTTGAAAACGTGGATTTATTCTCGATGCTTGGGGATCCAACATATTGTCGTTCCTGTCGTCCCGAGTCTGGCGAGATCATGAGCGGGACAGAGGGAACCATTCCTAACACGGAGGGGGACGCGGGATCGGTCCCAACGACCTCCACAACGTTGATCACCACGACGGCCGCATCTTCGTTGGGTGCGGTGGGGGGAACGATTCCCCGGCTACCTGCATACTTGTCTTGGCCGCCTCCGACCCCTTCGCAATGGGGCCCGCGGCAGACACCAATGCAGGAGGATTGGACTTTGTATAATGCCAAGGGCACCAGGGAGGTTTACTCCCGCCGAGGCAGTGGACTTCGAGAGAGTCTGTTCGACAAAGGACTATTTCCCGATACGGAGAAGCCGGCTGCTGCCGGGAAGTACCGAACTATCCTCCGTGACACTGAGGATTGGATGTATGAACCGTTTGGAGAGGGAGCATCGGCGCCTCCAAGTGAAGGGGACTATGAGCCACCTCCGGGATACCGACCTGGGGAACAAATCCC